TTTTGTTTGTGTGTGTGTGTATGTGTATGTGTGTGTGGGTGAGAGTGTCGTTGTGGGTGGGTGTATCTGGGGGGGGGGGGAGTTTGGGTTACAGAGCCCCGTCTACAGAGCCCTGCACCCTTCTTGGCCCTTAAATCTAATTCAAAATAACAACAGAAACAAATTTTTATCTATCGCACGAAAGTACTTCGCCCTATGCGACACCTGTTTCTCAATTTAAAAGTTATAAATCTGGTTGTGTGTTGCCACAGCTTGGCTAAGGTTATTAAGATGTCGCGGCACTAAAATGGCTGAGAACCGATTGGTAGGAATGATATTATTAATCTATTGGTGCTTTGAAGCATTCATCTTTGACTTGCCCTCAAGACCCATCTCTTCAAACTTGCCCCCAAGACCCATCTCTTCAAACTGTCTTCAAGACCCATCTCTTCAAACTGCCTTCAAGACCCATCTCTTCAAACTGCCTTCAAGACCCATCTCTTCAAACTGCCTTCAAGACCCATCTCTTCAAACTGCCCTCAAGACCCATCTCTTCAAACTGCCTTCAAGACCCATCTCTTCAAACTGCCTTCAAAACCCATCTCTTCAAACTGCCTTCAAGACCCATGTCTTCAAACTGCCCTCAAGTCCCATCTCTTCAAACTGCCTTCAAAACCCATCTCTTCAAACTGCCTTCAAGACCCATCTCTTCAAACTGCCTTCAAGACCAATCGCTTCAAACTGCCTTCAAAACCCATCTCTTCAAACTGCCTTCAAGACCCATCTCTTCAAACTACCCTCAAGTCCCATCTCTTCAAACTGCCTTCAAAACCCATCTCTTCAAACTTGCCCCCAAGACCCATCTCTTCAAACTGTCTTCAAGACCCATCTCTTCAAACTTGCCCTAAAGACCCATCTCTTCAAACTTGCCCTCAAGACCCAGCTCTTCAAACTTGCCCTCAAGACCAATCTCTTCAAACTTGCCCTCAAGACCAATCTCTTCAAACAGCCTTCAAGACCCATCTCTTCAAACTGCTTTCAAGACCCATCTCTTCAAACTGCCTTCAAGACCCATCTCTTCAAACTACCTTCAAGACCCATCTCTTCAAACTGCCTTCAAGACCCTTCTCTTCAAACTGCCTTCAAGACCCATCTCTTCAAACTTGCCCTCAAGACCCATCTCTTCAAACTGCCTTCAAGACCCATCTCTTCAAACTGCCTTAAAGACCCATCGCTTCAAACTGCCTTCAAGACCAATCTCTTCAAACTGCCTTCAAGACCCATCTCTTCAAACTGCCCTCAAGACCCATCTCTTCAAAATTGCCCTCAAGACCCATCTCTTCACACTGCCCTCAAGACCCATCTCTTCAAACTGCTCTCAGGACCCATATTATAAATAAATGTATATATACATTTTACTGTGTGCTGATATATTTAAATGTCACATACAAATGTAGGGAAATCATTTTATTACATGTTTAGCTTGTTAATCAACAAGTTAAAAAGTTTATACACTTACATTTTATAATGCAGACTCAATTGAACGGTTGTTAAGGACTAAATATCGTTGTTCGTGGCAGTATAAACAAGATTTTTATAAGTATAGCTGACAATTATAGTATAGTTTCTATCAGCTATCATCGTCTCCACATGTTGCTGTATCGTAACAATGGGCATCAGGGACATCATTTGGGTGGGGCAGGGGGGGGCATTTGCCCTCCTCCCCCGATTTTGCTGGTTTTATTTAAATTGATATGTACTTTGGCGCCTCCAGTAATAAACAACTTAACAAGCCGACCATGTTTTGGTTTTGCCTTCCCTCGACTTTCCCTGAAAAAAAAATGAAATCACGCCCATGAGGGGCATAGCGTAAAGTAGTTGGTTTATCATTTTCATCTTGTGGAACTGATCCACCAGACAAGTCAACATCATCCTCGTCTAACCATTCAGCACTTAAAATAGAAGCATCGTCAGTGTGAGCAATAGTTGCCATAAGCTCTCTCTGTCTTTGAGTTGGTCTAGTTGTTATTGAACACCGATGAGTTGGTGTTTTGTGTACAATGATGTGTTAATCATTCTAGGGAGTAGATAAGAGAAATGACAGGTGACAAAGTTTGCTAAAAACATCACTAAAAAAACAGTTTAAAATAACGTGCAAGTCTAAGCCAACTCCCGTCTAGCATTTACAACCCCATGTGTCAGGACTTGTGTCATCATTACAACAAAGGTAAGTAGGAAATGCATGTCATCATTTACACTAGAGGTGCGACAGGGTATGTGTCATCATACCCGGGGAGTTGGGTTTTTTTTTTTTTTTTGTCTGGCTTTTGACTGGAATTGAACTCAAGACCACAAAATTTGGTTTATTGTAAAATCAGTTTAGACCATTCAGCCACCCAGTCAACGGAGGGGAGTGAGAAAGGAAGTACGGTGTTATTGCAAGTGACTTTACCTTTTTTTATTGGGTTTTTTTTTTTTTTGTCTGGCATTTGACTGGAATTGAACTCAAGACCACAAAATTTGGTTTATTGTAAAATCAGTTTAGACCATTCAGCCACCCAGTCAACGGAGGTGAGTGAGACAGGAAGTACTGTGTTATTGCAAGTGACTTTACCTTTTTTTGGAATCGGTATAATTTCTGAAGTTCTCCCTAGCTTTGATTGACACAGTGTAGAAATATTTCTGTTTTATTTTAATTCATAGAATCGATGAAACACATGCCACGACATTACTTTAATATATGATATTTTAAACAGTACCCGTTAAAGAGAGAGACCACAGTGTGCTGAATCCATCGTTTTAACGTGTTTAAGAAACCGAGGATTGATTCATAACAGTGGATCAGTCTACTTACGAGACCATTTAAAACAAATGCAAACATAGGAAGCTCGCTTGGCTAGCCCTAACTAACGCAGGGATTCTTAACCTGGGGTGCCCTTCACCCCCAGGGGATACGGACGGAAGTGTCGTTAAAATCAGAGGGTCATGTCTATTTGAACTTCTAAAGGTATTTTTGTAAAATCGTAGATGGCGAGGGAAATAAGTTTTGAAATCGCGATGACATGCAAGGAAATTTTTAAAGGGTGTGTGAGGGAATGCGCTGCTGCGAAAAGTTAAAGAGCCCCTGATCTACCGTTGTACAAAGGAGCGACCAATCATGTACAAGTTTCATGCTAGTCAAAACACTAAGAAGCGGATCCCATGTCTCATGAACTGGAAGTCAGGACTGAATTCAGAGTATTACCATGCTCAATTAAATAAATGATTATAGAAAATTGACAGCGATTTGTGTGAAACTAAATGAAAGNTATTGGCTGTTCTTCAAGTGGTTAATATTTAAATGTATCCCTTTTAAACAGTGAATTATTAATTTGCTGGAAAAGCCTTTGGAAAGGATGAAGTAAAAGCATTGAAAAAAATGATTACAGTGTGAAAAAAACATTACATTTAAATCCCACACATTTGTAATACCCGGCCACTATGAGTTGTTTTCAAAAGCTGGCTCATCCTCATACCATTTCATGTTTATTTGTAAGTTCCCTTGTCATTTACTAGTAGTTGTTTAAAATTCCAACATTTTTATTAACTATTTTTATCATGATTCAAAAACTGTTGATCTCAAGGATATATTTCTCATATCTGAATTTCAGGATGTAATTTATTTAGTACCTCTTTCTTATTCATGCTCTAAATACTGTTTAACTATTTTACTTTACAAGTTAAATAATACTTTAAGCAGCTAAATATGAGATGAGATAGTAAAATACCTGGGTCTAAAATAATAATTAAAACTACAGTATGGATGACATGAGATTCTTCAAGTTCAGTCATTGTGACAGAGACATTTCCCTTACCAGGAGATATGAGAACAAGAGCGCTAAACAAAGCTTTTTCTGAGTCTCTGAGGCTAAATGCATTTAAACGGTTGGAGAGGTTGAAGAGAAGTTCGACAAAATGTTCTCCTAAAGGGAAACCGAGCTTCATCTCGTCCCGCATGACAATGGAACTGTTTCCCAACAGAAAGATTGAGTTGGTCTCTGCATCAATGAATGGCGCGCACACAACACAGGCCACCTGAAATACAATAGATTTCTTGGATTGAGTACCGGTACAAACTAGATTAGGTCAACTTAATATAAATGCACTTAATTAATTTTATTATATTTGAAGAAATTTAAAGTCTAAAGTCTACAGACTTCTAGGTTACAAATTTTGTGTTATTAATGTTATTGGCTGATAATAAATAATGTTTTTTAAAAAAATACTCTGGTTTATAAAAAAATAAAATACTAATACTAATATATTTCCACTTTTAAAAAAAATAAATTAAGAAACTGTAATTTGACTCAAAGTGTGACAATGTCATTCTATTTGCAATTCCTGGCCTATCAAATCATTAAAATAGAAAAATAATCTCTAGTTTGAAAAAACTGCTAAGACTTCATTATCCCAGAGCAGTGCTTTCCTACACTTTTGAGCTATATGGCAATTTCAATTATATTATCAATAATTATTAAACATCCCATATCATCCTAGTGACACCTCCTCACAGGAGATTTGTTAGTTGTCATGACTGGAGAAGTAGAGGATTCTTTAGGTTAAAAAAGAAATGATGAGGTTGTGTTTTGTTCAGTTTTTTTTTGCATCCCAGTTTTTGAATGCTTCCTCCTCACTCACAAAATTATAGTGTAAACATTAAAACTAGTCTAATAAAACCCTTGCGTTTACCTCAAAACAGCCTCCTTTGATTAGACTTATTTGATCATCCTGGTCTAAATCGGCAAACCCTGGGATCTTTTTGGCAAAGCAAACGACATCTTCAATAGTTCTGTTCAGTCTCATTTGAAAATGATGCCAACACATCTCACCTGGGCTGGCACCCTTTTGGAAAAAAAAAAGGGGTGGGGGAAGAAGCAATAGTGTTCATTATTTACGTGAACTTAAATCTCTTTGTTCAAATAAGTAAGAAGTAATGATAAATTAAATCTCTGAGTTTAAATAAATAAAAAGTAGTGATAACATAAATTCTAAAATTGGTGCAAATTTTTTGTAGTAAGACTTTTCTCAAAGGCAGATTCTCAAGTTAAAATAAAAAAATTCTCAAGCAAACAAATTTTATCAATTAGAATGAAATATATTTTAATTTTCTTTATAAACAACAAACTTTTACTTTTGTATAATGTATAATTATTATTAAAGCGTAACTTATATTGTTATATTATATTGACGTGTCTTATTAATTTATAAACAACAAAAGCGCCTAATTAAAAATATCTTTAAAAAAATTAAACTGATTGTGAGAATTTTTATAAATAAAATTAACCTTTCGACTTTTATCAAATAAAATACTCTAAAGTTATTAAGACTGACAACACAATTTTTTTATTTTTAAAATTTAAATGTAAACAGTACCCGCAACCTACATTTAAAAAAAAAACGGAATAAACCTTGGTTATCTACCATATACAAGGCCGAAGAAGAATGAACCTAAAGCACTCCATTGTGACCTACTTTATATTACCGTTATTTCATTGGTCGCTTTATTTAGGGGAACAGGCGAAAAGTGCAATGTTTAATGCTTCTTTTCTTTAATTCTTCAATCCCAACTCTGCCCCACTTTTTTTTTTTTTTTTTTTTCTTTTTTTTTGCAGTTGGCAGAAAATACTAACGCCCAGTACAAAAAAGTGGTGACCGGAGTGAGCCATACCATACGCCCCTTTCATCGCCACTAAGTGATGGAATACAAAAAAAAATATTAAAAAATAGAGGTTTGGGGAGGGGCGTGTTCTTTGAAAAGGAAAGAGGTTGTTGGTCAGTGAAGTAACTATCACATTAGGTCAGATGTGCTTTTAAATTTTTGCATGGGGGGAGGGGGGGTGGGGTTGTGGGGTTGGATAGCATTGGCTCAAAGAGGTTAGTGCCATACCTGGGCTTCGTCTTTTAAGCTGTGGTGAGGACAAGGTTCAGGGGCGTGGCAAGCAGTGTTCCTGATTCGTGTAAGTTGGGCTTGAGCCAGCAATGCTGATTCATAATAATAATAAAAAATATATTTAAAAAAAAATAAAAACAGCCATTTAAAGACATTGATAACGTGTTGCTATTTCAAATAACTTTATCCCGCTATACGACGACAGCGAATTGTGTCTACGTCAAGCAGATAATCGTAAAATACCAGCCACGACGAGAACATTGCTAGGTTCGTGTTTTCAGTTATGCCCCGTCGAGATGCGATACCATAAAGTGTCTACCGCCACAGGGCTCATTTTTATGGCTAAGATAAAGGTGACTGGGGGACATTGCGTAAGATATTTTAAAATGTTATTCTTTTTTAAGCTTTCCAATTCATCAAGTACTTAGTCTGTTTGTTAGGGGTGGGGTGTTGTGGTATTATTGCATTCACAGACCGGTGAACATAAAGACAAACATACAACTCAAAAGTCGTGAAAAAGAAATATGTCAAAACAAACAGAAGGGAAACTACAGTATGCGACAGGGACGCAAACTCTTCGAGCTACCCGACAGTGTGGAATAGAAGAATGAATGAAAATATAATATATAATATATATATAATATATATTTATATATATATATATATATATATATATATATATATATATATATATATATATATATATATATATATATATATATATAT